AACAAAATCTAAAATTTTATTAGTCAGAGACTAGCTTGAATAACTAGCTTTGTCTTGCCCTCAGTCAACTCAAATGGGTTGCAAATTATTTGAAGTAGAATTGGGTTGAGGAAAAAATAAAATTGTAACGCCTAAAAAAAACCAATTATATATGTATTGACAGTGCACATTTAAAAGAAACAATTGCATTAATTCATTCATCAGAGTTTCTGAAATAAAGCATTACATGTAACATCGAATAAAATGCCCTAAAGCAGGCTTTACTCTTTCCAGCCACACTTGGATACAAAAGATGAGTTTCTAATCTCAATACAAGAAAAGCCCTAGGCTTGGATGTTTACATGTACTAATAAAATAAAGACTAATTAATCTAAAGATAGCTTCGAATCCAATCCCTTCCAAGCTAAGTCTTGGAAGGTAGCTTATCACCTGACGCTGAAATTGATGTTCCACATATAGGGTGAGGCCACAGCCCAGTAGAATATATAACTAAACCACATTATAGCAATGGAATAAAACAAATAGCATTTCAACAGATGGTTAACCAAGATAATTAATTACTTCATTACAGGTCTCATTGACACTATTGTCTAAGACACGTTTTACTTTCCAATCTTTATCAACATGGCTCGCAGAACCTGGGCCAAACTTACAACAGTGAATTATATATATCATTCTTTCACATTCTCCCAATATCAACAAACAAATGAGGCTCAAGCTAATTCAAAACACTTCATTACTTCCAATGTTGATACACATTTTAGTGCTGTATCAATAAACACTTTCTATATAAAATTAAGCACAACATAAAAGTGAGTCTAATGGAGTCCATCCCCTATCTCCTCCCAAAAAATCCGGTTTAAGAGGTCGCATCCCTATCTTCCCCTAAACCGTGGAGTACATCCCTATTCCTCCACACACAAAAAACAATGCATGCAATGCAATGCTTCCAATCAATAACGTATTCTTCTTGTATCAATGCATATAGCAAATAATGACTTAACCAATTGTGATTAGTTTCATTATTTCCTAATCCACAATGCAATGTCTACAAAATCACGACTATCTCCACCGAATATCCAAACAGTTATTTCTAAACTGAAATAACCATTCTAACAATTTTTGGGACATTGTTTGATCATTGTTTACTTTGTTTTTTCATGACTTCTTCCTAAGCAAGTATAAATGTGTGTTGGTCTGCAATCTTGTGGTTTGGTAAATGATGACCTTTTTGTTTTCTTGCATGAATTTAAGATGAACAAAGATAGAATTGAGATTATTCAATGGTTGAGAAACATCAAGTTTTTCGTGGAGAAATAGGGGATTATATATATAAATATGTGATTTTCCCTCTACTATACTAAGTGTTGTATTTTCAACTTCTGTAGTGATAAAGCATGTTTTGCTCTAGAATGTGTTATGCAAACTGTTCAAGCATACTTCTAGTTTGGTATGTCTGAGGTGTAAATACTAAAAAGCATGTAAACAATGTCCGTTGGCATTGGTATTGACTTGAAATGAATTCCTTAGAGGCTAGAGCAAGATCATTTGGCGGGTCTAAATCTCTTTTTCTTGTCAATGAAATAAGATGTTGAGTTGGTGGTAGAATTTGCTAGGTGTAACTGATTCAAGAGGAGGAACACCATATTGTACAAGACACAAAAGTCTATAAAATATGTGGATTACATTATGTTACAAAGTTTTTTTAACATAGGAAGTGCATAGATTCAGACATAATAAACGGGAAAGCAATTAACTAACACGGACAACATTATGCTGTTTCAGTTGGAAAGGCCTCATGTTTGCACATTGTAAAGACCACAGAGTTGTGCTACCATGCTAGATTACCAGAAAAAAAATCAGAATCCCTTGGACTTGTAAAACTCATCTCATCAATATCTCATCTTTTGGCTAATTCAACAATCACAGTGCCATTCGAACTAGGAACGACCTCAGGGGACTTAATTGTACTGAACTGGTCATTACTATTCTGCCAAGTCTTTTGCAGTTGCAGTGCATATCGGAGGTTACCCAACACATCATCCATCGATGGACGCTCAATCCCCTCATCACATACACAATTTTCTGCATTCTTGACATATTCTTTCAAACATTCCGGTGCTATTTTGTCAGTTAGATATGGATCAATGATCTGATCTACGGTACCCATTTTAATATTAGTTTTGAACCAACGAACTAAATTCACTTGATCCTCGTTCCTTGAATAGATCATTGGCTTCCTACCATACAATAGTTCAAGTAAGACGATGCCGAATGAGTACACATTAGATTTTGTAGTAAATTTTGCATCGACAAGGTATTCTGGATCATCATATCCTACGGTGCATATACTTGTTACAGTGTGGTGTAGTACTTTCGCATTCCAATTCTCATCCAACATAATATAGGCAGGATTCAAGTTCCAATGAATGATTGGTTGCCTTGTACCTGCATGGAGGTATTGCAGTCCTCTTGCAACACCAATGCAAATCTCAAGTCGCTTTTCCCAGTTAAGTGAACACTTGTTGGTTTCATTGAGGTGATTGTCGAGAGACCCATAGACCATATACTCGTACACAAGGATTAGTTCATGCTTATCAATGCAGTATCCAATTAAAGAAACAATGTGAAGGTGACGTAGATGGGAGTGCACCTAGATTTGAGCCCTAAATTGGTCCAAGTTACTCTCTCTTGATGTTCCTTCTTTCCATCTTTCAATTGCCACCTCAAGATTCCGACGGTTAATGTGACAACGCTCACCATTGATTAATGCTAATCCATGATTAAGCATGTTAATTGACTGACTGATTGAATTACTAAACTGATTGATTGATTGTGCTAGTTTGAATGCAATTCTATCTGTTGACTGTTAAATTATCTGTTCATGTTTTATGCTTTAAATTGTAAATTGAAGGCCTTATCGGCGGCCAAATCTGAAATTGATTAACGTTTTGTGCTAATTAAGATTTATATGATTTTATGGTATATTTAATTGGAATATGATTTGGTATGATTAAATTAGATTAAATAAGCTAAATTACAAGAGTTGGCCTTACTTACCAATTTGCCACATTAGGGGCCCACTACATGGGACCTATTGGGATTTGCTTTCATCTCATTTTGTACATTTCATCAGCCACTCCTTGAGCCTTAGCCAACTAGAGAGAGAGACTTAAAAGAATTGATTTCATCTTATATTTGCTTGGAGACTTGAAGAATTTGTAGAGGATTTGTGCAATTGAGCTTATATTCTTGACTTTGAGGACCTAAGGTAGTGTGTCCATCCTTTTAACTGTGAATTTAAGTAAGTTCTTTCATGTTTCATGCTAAATTGAAGAGTTGAGTCTAGAATTGGTTAAGATTGTTGAATAGAGGCTTAATTCTTGCATGCATGTATATATTTTGAAGTTTAAAATTGTTTTCATGGAAATTCCTCACATGCATGTCCATATCTTGAGTATAATCCATGAATTCATCTTGTTATAGAAAGAATTGGCTCATTTGTTCATGTTTTGAAAGTTTGAAGTTGATTAAATTCATGCATGTTATGTTTTACATCATGTTCATGGAATTTGTTTGAATTTGTGTTCAATTGACTCACCTTTGGGCCTTGATTTTCCAAATTGAGCTTTGAATCATGTTATATTATGAGTTTTAAAGTGTTTTCTAGAAAATTAGCCCAAAATGATCGAATTTGGTATATTGAAACTTGATTTTGAGCTTGAGGTTCAAATCTGGAAATTCCAGATTTTGGACTCCCGCTCGAGCGGGGTAATTGGTGCTCGAGCGGGAAATTCGTGTATCCAGCACTTTTGTTGTGTTTACAGTCCGCTCGAGCGGGGGTTTTTCATGCTCGAGCAAGGACTTCTGTCACACGCTCGAGCAGGTGTCGAGCGCCCATCGAGCGTGATTTTCACACATCCAGTACTTTTACAGTACGCTCGAGCGGGAAAGTTTACGCTCAAGCGAAGACTTTTGTTTGTATGTACGCTCGAGAGGGAAAACCCACGCTCGAGCAGGACCTCTGTTTTCTGAAAATTCTAAAAATGTTTTTAAAGTGCATCTTTGCATCCACATTCCATTCTAGGCATTCTTAGGCCTAGTTTAAGGCATCTTAATGAGGATATTGATGTAGAACCACACCGAGGCAAATTAGGGATTAAGTTATTATTTTTCCGAACTGTGTAGCTTAGTGTGTATTCACTCTATAACTGTGTAGGGTTGGCATCCGAGGATGCGTACTAGCTTATCTGTAGCCCAGAACTCTGTGAGTAACAATGTTGTAAAGATATGTTCAATAATGATTATCTTCTAAACAATTGAACTATACTGTTTTCTGAAATGAAACTGTTACTGAATGAATGATGTCCTATCTGTGAACTGTATTCATGGCATCCATAGCAACCTACTGTTACTGTACTGTACTGCTACTGTCACAGAGATCTCTGTCGGTTGGTACTGTTTTGCTATTGGATGTACCACTTATGACTGCTATGACTGAATGACTGATATACTGATAAATGACTGTTTTCAATACTGAAAGGACATTCATTCTTAACCTCTTTACGCATATGTTATTCACTGGGCTTTAGCTCACTGCTCATATATATATGTAGGTGTATAGGCACCGGACCGTTGCTAGAAGCGTCAGGGTAAACTCCAGTTTTGTCAAGCCAACCACTGTGCCTCACTGAGAGGTTCCAAGTCCTTCAAGCTAGGGCTTTTGGGGTGTTTTAGTTTCCCTTTTTTTGTATCTGTTTTGTAACTACTGTATAGACTGAATGGTGTTGTACTGTACTGTTCTAATAGGGATTAAGTCCCTGTTCTGAATGATTGTATATATTGTATATACTGTTTTGATACTGATTGTATATATATATATGAAAAGTCTTTTTGCATACAGACTGTCACAGCTCATTAGACATCTTTTAATTACTGTTTTGGCTTTCGCCAGCCCTTGTACTCTGTATTACTGTATCACTATTAAGTAGGCCTTCGGTAATCTCGGATTACTAGCCGGTTACGGTGCTAAACCCATAGGGGCGGGTTTGGGTCGTGACAGTTGATATGGCCTCTATACACTTTGGTGTCAGCAACTTGCTCGATCACCAAAAGCTCATGAAAATTATTTGTGAGCGCTCGAATCTCTGTCAGGAAGAAATGACGGAATGATTGAATGACACCGTTCTCAACCAGATCCCTCCACAACTACCCTGACACTCTATTCCTAGGACCCCAGTTCTTCCACTTCCTCCACCCAAGATCAATACCATTAGCCACTACATGTGCAGTTCTCAAAAATAGATTGGTTAATATTTTCATTTTTCGAGATATACGAATATTGACCTGTGATGCCAATCCATGCTTGAGGCTCCCCACAACTTCACTCATTGTAGGCCTTCCTTTTGGATAATTATGTAAACATTTGTTAGCAACTTCTGCAAACACCTTTAGACAATTTGGTGATATTTGTCCTCTTATAGAGAGATCAATGATTTGGTCAAGGGTTCCCTTTTTGATGCAATTTTGAACCCATAGGGCTAGACCCATTTGGTCCTCCTCAACACTTGTATCCACTAGTGGCCTCGCACATAACACTTCAAATAGAACCACACCAAAGGCATACACATCTGATTTCTTAGTTAGTCTACGAGTCAAGAAATACGCTAGATCTAAATAACCAAATGTGCCTTTAACATCTGTACTAACGTGGGTTCGTGTATGGCTTGTGTTTACCATTTTGGACAACCTAAAATCTGAAATCTTAGCTACCCAATTCTCATCCAATAGAATGTTTGTTGTCTTCACGTCCCTGTGTATGACACCTTGCTTCGTATCCGTATGAAGGTAGTCTAATCCACGGGCAGCTCCAATACAAATTTTGAGTCTCTCCTCCCAAGTAAGATGATAAATATCATTCCCGTTTCCTTTCCTACTACTTTTGTAGAGATGATCGGCGAGTGTCCCATTGGCCATGTATTCGTAAACAAGTATCATCTCCTCGCAATCATCAGAGTAGCCAATCAGAGCCATAAGATGTGTGTGCCGGAGCTTGGAAAGCGTCTTGATCTCAGTTCAAAACTCTGCTGCCCCTTGTTTAGACTCTGCATTTGATCGCTTAATGGCGATAGTGGTAGCTCCACCGTCGATAAACCCTTTATACACCTTACCGAATCCGCCTTTCCCAATGACCAAAGCATCATCGAAGTTATTGGTCGCCAATTGAATCTCAACAAATGAAAACCAACGGCACAATTCCTTGGATTGATACACACCATTTGTAATTTTATTCTCACTGTGAAAAGCTGACATATTTCTCAGCTTTGGAGCCCTACACAACTGTTGATGTGGTTGTTAGCACACAAGATTTGGAATGGCAATCAATTGTTATAATGAGACGATGAAGGAAGATAAGAGTGGAGTGGGGGGGGGGGATGAGAGAAGACTTGAAGATCACAAAAATAAAGAAATGGAAGACTCAAATTGGCTCCCTCCTCAGGTCAACAATGAGTGCTCCAAGTCCACAGTCAATATACCTGTAATTTTTAATGGATGTTATTTCTTCTTAGTGGGAGTGTCACGCCCCAAGCTCCGTGACAACGCCGCACACTCATATAAGTGAGCATGCAAGGTTAAGAATCCAATCACATAACCCACAATGGAAAATACTCAAATTAAATCCTTAATTGTCATAATGCCAAAATCCATAAAAATAAATAGTTCTTATATGAAAATGTCCACCAAGTCCACTAATTTAATCCACTAACAAAACAATAATCGAAGTACTTAAATCATGGTCCTACTCTCGATACTCCCACATGTAAAAAAATCCCGCGTAGCTCTACTCTTCAAAATCTGAAAAAAAAATAAGAGTAAGCTAGATAGCCCAGTAAATAACCAACCACCACTGCTACCTGGATCAAGTATACAAAAATAAATAAATAAATCGATAACCAATAAATATAATTTTTTTTTACAGTTCAATAAATGAACAATTATTTGTAAGGTGGTTTCATAGCTAAAAATAAACAATGTACAATACATTTTAAATGAAAAGCCAACAAGATAATTCAAAGTAATTCGTTGTTCAAATCGATGGTTCGATATTCAGATGGTTCAATGATTTGATTCACAAAACCCAAGTCTTAATGACTACGGTCACTTAGCCCGTGACAAGGCCCAGAACCACACATAGGCCGGTGGTAAAGCCCCAAAAGAAACTAGTTTCTGTGCCAATAAATAACCCCCATTGGCTAGGGTCCAAATCATAGTCAGACTAGAGTGATGTTCAAAATTCAAACAATACACAACTTTTAAATAAAACATTCGAAGTTTTCATGAATAAACGTTTAGTACAATTTTCAGAATAGTTTCACCAAATATTCAAATAATTTTCATAATAATATTCGATGTTATTTTATACTTGACCCATATTTTATTTTAAGAGAACATGAAGGCTATAAATAAATATTTATGATTTTAAACGATTCGATAGGAATAAAAAAAAATGAACTAACAGTGATAGAGGGTTACTTACCTTCAAACAGCTAAAATAATATTTCCCAGGCTAATCTCAAATTACCAAGATCCACCTCAATCTCACAAACCTAAGTGATGAATAAAGCAAAATCACCATGAATCCTCCCTCTTCCTTTTGGTTTAGGTCTCTCTTTTTTTTTTTCTTTTTTTTTTTCCACTCTTCAAACCGTTGAGCAGCAGCAGCCTCCAAATACCTAGTAGCACTTTCACAAGGCTCCATTTTCTTTCCTTTTTTCTTTCTTTTTTTAAAAGGGTTGAAAACCTAATTCTTAAGATTACTAAATTACCCATACAATTTATTTTAATTATTAATCTATCCAAAATAATTCATAAATTACTTGGGTTTTACAAGGAGTAGGTAGAATCAACACGAGGCAAGTTAGATCGAGCTCCCCTAGTTAGATGGTAGATCCTGTTTTTTTATTTGGGAATTCTATAGGATAAGATTATAGAATTTTCTTCTCTATACTTACGAAAAATACTTGGTTGTGTTTTTATGTGGAAAGCAGAGGCCAAAAATTCCATTCCCTTCTACTAAAACTAACGAATATTTCACTCTTCAAAAGAAGGGTAACGAGCAGGAAAGAATTGTTCATAATATATTTATATAAATTTAAGAGTTAATTATTTAAAAATTTTATTTACAAATGTTATGGTAGCTCAGGTTCTATGTAAGATTTTTTCAACTAATAAGTCTTATTTAGTAAAACTGGGAATATTATCATTTTTTTTTAATTTTTAAAAATAAGAACATTATCAATTTTGTATAATAATGTTCTAAATAATTGTTTCACTAACTGATACGGACAAAAATAGAACATGAGATTAAACATTTTTTTCTTTTTATTTATTGATTTGATTCAACTGTCCAATAAAACCGAGAACATTAATAGTTTTTTCCAATTTTAAAACTGAGAACATTATAGGTTTTTTTTTTTTTTTTTCCAGTTTTACTCATCAATGTTCCATGATCATGTTCCTTTACAGACACAAAATTTTCAGTTTTGCACAAAGTTCTATGTTTTTTTTTTTTTTAGTGTTTTCAATTTGAAGTTGATATTTTAAAATTTTGAAAATCAAAATAAATGTCAAATCATCATGTTACCTTTATAGATAATCATAAATGATGAACCATCATTGTTTGAAAGATAATTCATATTATTAAAAATTTAATGAGATTTAAAGGTCCAAAAAATCTTAGTTAGGACCTAATGAAATATAAATTCATAAATTAGGACTTGTGTGTAAATGTCCTTATATTTAAATATATAATATAGTTATATGAATGATTAAAGAGATGTGACTTTTAAGTTTAAACCAAAGGGTGTAACCATTGAATTTAAACAAAAAAGTGTGTCTTTTGGATTTAAACTATGGGGTATAGCTATTGGATTTAAACCAAAAGACATGACTCTTGGATTTAAAGGGTGTCACTTTCAAATTTAAAGGACATGACCTTTGGTCTAAGGGACACAAACTCATGTCTATATAAAAGCAGAATGGGATGGAAATTGGATAAAAATCATCATAGAATATCCATGGAATTTCTCTCTAACATTCATATTGTTATTTTCCTTATACTTGGTGGATTAGAAAATCCAAAGGTATTTGGGATCTGATTTCGTTTGTGCATAACACAGTCAGATATCAGTCTTTAGACTGGGTTTCATTGTATTCTGGAGGCGAATTTGCAAGTAAACCGGTGCATAACATATTCGACAGAATTGGTGGGGGCAAATATCATCTTAAGAAAAACGACGTTGTAACGCGCCTTGATGCAATACTAATTGTTTTATCTCTTTCCATCTCATTAACCAAATTTGCACCAACAATCTTAAGACGATATTCTAAAAAGATGGAAGCACATTAATGTGTATTTGAAATTATGTACAACAAGAAAGGCTGTATTCAATTTTATTTATGGTATATAGCGGATTAAGAAACAAGGAATGCATTTCCTATAGATGTGCAATTTTATATGATAATGAAAATTAAATTGCCAGGTATGAGTTATTTTCTATTCTGCTTTTGAAATTAGTATTATATGAATAATTGCATGCCTATATTTGTTGTTTCTTGGTGAGAAAGTGTTTGCCTATAATTGACATGTAATCTTCAAGGAAGAATATACTTTTCATATGCCATGAAAGAAATTGTTACGAACAAGTTATGTGTTTTTAATTATAATTGTTATTTTAAATTTTGCTTTCTCTATTGCATGATAAATATAATTTTTGTTAGTATGTGTTTACAATCAATGAGATGTAATTCAGAAAATAATTTGTGACTTTCTGTATTCGGTGACCAGAACTTGGGTCAAATAAAAATTCTGCCGCCTTTTGCATGTTATTTGTGAAACATATAATTTTATTATTTTATTTACATATTATCAATTTACATGAAACTTTTAAGTTTTGTAAGATATTGTTAATATGGTTTGATTTAAAGTTTTATTAAATTGTTTATATAGTTAGTCTATATGTTTGTGTATACATCTGGAAGTTGATATGTATTTTCTTTTCATAAAATGACTTTGAAGTTGGAAAAGGAAAGACACAAATATTTGAAAAATATTTTGTGGAAGTTTTCAAGAATGTGTTTTTAAAATCAAGTTATGATTTTAATTGTTAAAATCAAGGTATGATTTTTGGATTGTGATTTCTTGAAACTTGAGAAAATATAGAGTGTATGTTATATACTTGGTAAATTTTCTGAATAAATAAATTAGATCAAAATTCAAACACTTGAATTTCCAGATTGTTCCATTTCCTTGCGGGAAGGTATGCACCATCCATTGGGTTCTCCCACTGACAACACACTCCAGATGACTTCAATTCACTATATTTCAATTGAACGACGTCAATTTTCAGTGCTGGGTTCATAGTCCATACCCAATCACCATTGATGACTTTTACCACACACATTCCTCTTGTGTCGACCTGCACCGAAATTATTGTTAAGTACTTCATCTAAGGTCCATTCCTGAAGGTTTTCCTTAACACACCTTATCAGTGACTTTTTGTTGATCAAGCAGACAACATCACCCAGTCAGCATATTGTATATCAGGGACTTTATATCTCATACTAACTATGATGTCCGTACCTTGTCAATTCCTCTACCTTATTACCTAATCAAACACAAGTTTCCATATAAGATAGTCGCATAATATCGGTTATCCAGGCATCCCCAGAGTCATCCGACTATGCTCTTATATAAGTAGCTAAACCACCTAGCTAGGCATTTTTTAATCCCATATTAGCTACATGTTCTCTGAATTTTTCTAGAGACAACACTTTGGTCATAGGGTCGGCCACCATCTCTTCTGATGGTATATAGTCGACTTTAATGAGATGGCAGACTGATTGTCACATAACATATTGACCGATCTAGCAGGTATACGTAATTGTAAATTGTCAATAAATCGCTTTATTCAGACCGCATTACTAACTGTTGTGCTGCAAGTTATGTGCTCAGCTTTCATAGTATATTTTGCACCTTTGTCACGACCCAACCCCAGGGGCTTAAGGTTGGAATCGTACTTACTAACTTATTCTATTTGTAGCAAATTAAACTG